CATAATCCAAAAATAAATTCAAAATTTTAATATTAATTCACATTCATAATAATAATTCATTCAACAATTTAATGGCATATTTTATTTCTTTAAGTTATTTTTTATATTATTTTCTATTTATTTTTAATTATCATTTATATTATTATTTATTTTATTTTATTTTATTTTCTATTTTCTATTATTAATCATCATTTAAGTTAAATTTTCATTCAATAATAAATTCTTATACACAAATAAATTTTTATTTGAAAATAATTTTTTATTTGTAAATAAAAATTTATTTATTTTCAATCAATACTTATCTAATAAAAGAATTCATCCAACAATCATTTTTTGAATTAAAATTCATTCAATCAATTGATTCATTTAAATTCAATGATTTATCCAATTAATCTAATTCAATTCTAATCCTAATCTATCTATTTATCTAATCATCCAATTTGAGAAGCTCATTCTTTGAAAGTTGATGGTAGCTCAAAGAAGGTTCTTTTATAGCAGTGATGATTGATTAAGCAACGTATTCTTATTTTTTTCTTGTAGAAATCTAAATCAATCTTATTGATAAAGCACCTCAATACCCTTGTTGAATTGTGTCTTAGACACTACTTAATACCACAAAGTTGAGTCAATCACTTTACAACAACAATGGATTTAATTTGATTATTTGATATTTGCATCTCAAAAAAATGTAGTACAAAAAAAGTAGTCAAAGTTAGAAGAGCCTTGACCAATAAAAATAATAATCTACCTACAAGTGTTAGGCCAAGAAACAAAAACTACCTTTGTTATGAAAAAAAAAAAAAAAATCACTTGAATCAGTTGAATTGTATAAGTAAGTTCTTCTACACAAGCTTTGAATACAGCTCAATGATAGGATAGAAATATCAATTTTCTACTAATCATCAAATAAAGAAGATGTTGCCACAGTGCATCAATGGCAACAATAATCAAATTGTAGCCACACAATCTTTGTACTTTGCTCTAGAACTGCCATTGATGGAGCCAAAGAATAGATGAAAAAAATAAATCTAACATTCTTGTATTAGGTGTATTCTTGCTTTAAAATGTACTAAGTGCCTAACTATAGAAGGTAAATAGAAATGTAATAACAATTCTATCAAATCTAATAGAGCCTTAAATAAACTTCAAGTAATTTCTAATAATTCAATCAAACTTTATCCTATCAAAATAAATTTAAAAGAAGTCACAAAATAAATTTAAAAGAAGTCACAAAAAAAATACAAAGAATCCTAAAAAAATATTAAAAATAGAAATCTTAATATAATCCTAATTAAAATTCTAATTAAATCTTAACCAAATCCTAAATCAAATCCTAATTGAAACTCTAATTAAATTTTAATCAAATTTTAGATCAAATCCTAATAAAATCCTAATAAAATTCTAAATCTTAAACAAACCTTAGATAAGTTCTAAATCAAATCCTAAACAAATCCTAATCTAAATCAAATCCTAGATTTTAAACAAATTCTTAACAAATCCTATAATAAAATAGAACTTCAATAACTAATAATCAAATTATTGATATCAACTCAAAATTTTCTCACTTAATGTCTTAGTTAAGAACAAGTATACGAAAGATGAAATCAATTGCACTTATCAATTGAAAAAAATGTAAGATAATCCAATTGAATATTGAACGGCCTTCTATTCTAATATGAATGTTAAACTTCTAGTACCAATATTTCCTTCTTGAATCTTTGAATTACTTTCAAATTTCATTTAAATATTTAAAATCAAATCTAATATCCATAAAAAAAACTAAAAATCACTTCAATCCAATTGATAGATTGCTAAAGATCTTAGAAATACTCACTAACCTTCAAATTCGAATTTCTGAAACCTCAACCTATAAAAACCTTCATATACTTCAATCTAATTGTTTGATTGATCTCAAAATTTTCATACATATTTATAACTAGCACATCAATACATTATCCAAATTTCATCCATATACACACCACAAAACTTAAGAAACCCTCAAATTTATAAACGTATTTTTATTTTTCAAATCCTAATCCCACCAAAAACATTACTAACTTTGAAAGTCTCTCAAAATCTCAATATTGATTCAAATGATATGAAACAACTGCTTAAAAATCTCTTCTCAAGTTTCCTCTCAAAATCTACTCTTTAATCTACAAAAGAACTCCAAAGTTCCCATAGGTACATAGTTTTTTGCCTTGGGATCTAATTTCGACTCATGTTGACAACTAGTCCTCTTGGGATATCAATTCTTGGCTCTTTGAGGTGAACTTTGCTAAGTTCTATTCTTAATTTCTCCTTATACATGTGTATATTATTTGATTTTCTAATCTACTTTGTTTTGCCTTATTTATGGTCCTACAAAGCAAATAGAAGTCTATTTTACAAAAAGATAGTATTCTTATTTTTTAGTTTTATTATCTTTTTGACTATTATCTATATTTTTCAGATAATTTTTTATAATATTTTAAAATAAGATCTTCTACAATATCATTTCTTTTCATCCATTAGCCATATTACATCATGACAATAGTGGACTATATCTTAGCACTACACTATATCAACATTAAAAAAAAACACAATTGACAAGCTCCAACTACTAAAAAATAGTAACAACTAGCTTGCTCTTCTTTTTATCAGTTGCAATACCTTTGATCAAGAAGAGTACTACTAAAATTTTCTATTGAAAAAGGCTACATTGGTTGCAGTACTTTAATTGTATTTTGATAATCTCTTGCTATTAACACCTCTTTAATCTCAACACTTCCTCCACACTCCACACTCAAGGCAAATCAAGCATACTCTTGGTGACCACAATTGAGTTGCCTTCCAATGCCAACTTTACTATACTCTTCTCTTTCATCAAAGAAAAAAAAAAAAAACACCTTGACTTTTCATTATAGTATCACCACAACCAAACGCTGATGTATTAGGTGTATTCTTGCTTGAAAATGCACCAAGCATCTAGTTGTGGAAGATTAGTAGAAATTCAACAATAATTCTATCAAGTCTAATAGAATCTTAAATAAACTTTAAATAAGCCTTAATAATTTTAATCAAACTTTAAAAAATCAAAAATAAATTTAAAAAGAAGTTACAAAAGAAATTCAAAAATTCAAAAGTTAATTTTTTAAAAAAATATCAAAAAATCTTTAAAAAAATATAAAAATAAGCCTTTAAAAGTAATAATAATCTTAAATAAATAATAAAAATAGAAAATCTAAATAAATTATAAATAAATCTTAATTTAATCCTAATTAAAATCTTAATAAATCTCAATCAAATCTTAGGTCAAATCTTAATTGAAATTCTAATTGAACATTAATTAAATCCTAATAAAATCTTCATGAAATCCTAAATCTTACACCAAGCTTAATGAGTCATAATCAAATCTTAAATAAATCCAAAAAGAATCCTAATCAAATCTTAATCAAATCCTAATTAAATCCTAGATCCTAAACCAATCTTTATCAATCTTTAATTAATTCCTAAATCTTAAATAAACTTCTTAATAATCCTATAGTAGATTAAAAAATTCAATAACAAATGATTAAATTGTTGATTTTGACTCAAACTTTGCAAACCTTGTAAAAACTAAATTAGAAACATGCAAAAAAAATTTGAAGATCACACATACCAAGTAGATGATAAATCCAAAAACTTGCTTGGATGTGGGTTAGCCTCCTCCAATCTTGATGCCAATCTCTTCAAGACAAAATCTCTTAATTCCATTATTTAATATCTCTCAAAATTCACATATATGTTAGAAATCAAGTCTATTATCCACATACAAATGTTTCACTTCAATTTAATTAGTAGATTGCTAAAGATCTTAGAAATCCTCAATGACCTTCAAAACTCCATTTTCAAGACCTAAATTTACTTGAACTAATTAATATTCAAGACCTTCAAAACTCCATTTTCAAGACCTCAATTTACTTGAATATTAATTAGAAATCGTTTTTTTTTTTTTAATATATATTTTCATTATATAATTGTATGATGATACACCAACACTTCACAAGAAAAAGGAAAAGGAACAAAACATAACAAGTTGTTGCCGTGACTTATAGTCAATAAACCTAGAGCACCACCAACAAAAAATGGAGCTCCTTCTTGTACCAACGCTCTTTTGCCAAATGATGTCTAACCTCAACTTTATGTGTTAATGACAAAAAAAAGATTCTGCCACAACAGTTTGACAGAATGAAGATGAATAAATATAGCCACACATCCACACGTACAGGAATAAAACACACCGTGAAGATTGGAATCTCCAAAACATATCACAAAAAAAAAAAAAAAAAAAAAAAAATATGGAGAAAGGAGGTGGGGGGGATCTAAGGTGGCCTGGACTTTCTATCAACAATAAAAAAAAAAAGTTGCCGCAGATCAGGAGCAACCTTTTGTCCTTGTGATCATCTTCTCTCTCATTTTCTTTCTAAAAAATTAAAGTGATTTGGTTTTAGAAATTATTTATGTTTGCACTTTATTGCATGCATCTATATCTTCTTCTTCTTTTTTAATAATATTTTAACTTTACAGAACAATGTTCTATTTTATTTGATTTCCTTTGAAAATTAGTTGTTGCCAATGTGTTGAAAACCCCCAAAGCACCCAATATAAACTGCTGCCCATCTGCAATTTCATATCAAATTATACTGGGTTCTTCAGGCAATGGAATATGTTGTAACTCAATTAAGACATTTTCTGGTTGATTCTGCTTCATGAGAACTCGGTCCTGCATTACTATTGCAGAATTACGTTGTGGTTGTTATCACTAAAATTTGACAAGTTCATATGTTATTGATTAATGAGATGGAGCTGAGTACTATACTGAAAAGTAGAAGAATATTTGGTTACCTGCCACATTTTATATCCTGTGAAAGCTTCTTAACCTACTGAACAAGGAATATAAGCACCTCTTCTAAGAACTGTTATCAGGGTGAGCAATTACGCAAAGATGGATCAGAAACTGTAGAGTACAGATTTAGCAGTATTACAGGAACAGAGAGAAATAGTTACAATGAAAGTACATTTATACATACTTCTATATATATATATATATATATATATAGGATTGTAAGCTAGAAGGACACAGAAATGGAGTATTCACTATGCCTTCTAGAGACACCCAACCATGCCTGCTAATGGACTGGGTGGTAATGCAGAGAACGAGACTACATCTCATCATCTGGATCCACCGTAGAGGGTTGCATTACAGTGCTGGCAAAAACGGAGCGAAGGCATGATCTGCATGTTCGTGATTCCAGAGCCAAGTTTCTCACTTCCAAGCTCCAGTTTAGCAATCGTCGCACATTTCAGTGGCCCTTCTTAATGGCCCTTGCGAATTACCTTCCGAAGCTAATCTCCAGCTAATTAGAAAAAGACAATTATCATCTCTACACTCCCCCAGGAACCATGAGATCTAGTCTTCAGGTGATTTTCAGAGCCTTGAGGATGATTGGCAAGCCGAACTTGGGGCTTTGTACCATGATGGAGGTCGGGTGATGCTTGTAATTCGGAGAAAGCACGAGCTGAAACCGTCGAAGCATCATGGCCAAGACGATCTTTGCTTCCATCACTGCAAAGTTGTTCCCGATGCAAAACTTTGGACCTAGTCCGAAAGGGGAAAACGCTTGTGGATGAGTACACGCGCTCGCCGCACCATTTACAAATCTTTCAGGGTTGAACTTTCCAACATCGTCGCCCCAATAGTCTTTGTCTTGGTGCATTGCCGCCAAGGAAAACTCGATAGCCATGCCCTTAGGTATAAACAGACCTTCTAACTGCAAATCCTTGGCGGCCACTCTCGTAAGTGTAGAAGCAGGTGGAAAGATTCGCAAGGTTTCGTTGAACACCATTCCCACCTGAACCCCATATCGAAACATAAATCTCCGAATGGCTCGCAACACACATCTCCAACCGCCAACTTGACTAAAATCCATAAAGCTATTTATGAGAAAGGAGCAGAAGACATACCACTTTGAGGCGAGAAATATCACTAGCACGCCAATCTTGCTCATCGCCAAGGATCTCCGTCACCTCCTGGCGACAACGATCTTGCCATTCCGGATACAATGCTAGCATTAGTATCATGAAGCCAATTGCGTTCGCAACCGTGTCTTGACCAGCAAAGTAGAAAAGCTTGCAGTTGTTAAACACAGCCAACTGGTTGAACTCTTTCGTGTTGGCGCTCCATCCCTCAGTTGCAGCCGTGAGCATCCGCCCCAGAAGATCATCCCCGTAAGAGCTTGTTACCCCCTTTTGAACAGCTTCTCGTCGGGCGTTAATAATTCCACGAACAAGGGCATCAACCTGGGAACCATAAAGGTTCATCGATCTGTTTCTCTTTGTAGGAAGATTTCTGCACATACGTAACCGGGTGGCACTAATCAATGGCATTACTAGCAGAATAACAGAAACATTACCCGTGCATTTACTTGAAGAAGACGATGGTGGAAGACGAAATTATTACCTGTAACCAGGAACAAGCCAATATGCTGTACTGCGAAATCCCTTTAAAAGTTCCTGCGAAAGTAGCGTCTGAAACTTGAAGATCTGCTCTCCTATTTCAAACTCGTCACCAAAAGCCGTGCGGGAGATAATTCTTCCAGAAATCTTGTGAAGGTCTGGCTCCACGTCAAGTTCCGCCGTGCCACCTCGTTCCTCTACCTCCTGCTCCCACTTCTGCAATTCTGTAGCTGCTCCTTCCATGATGGCCCCCACCATGCCCTACGCGCCATAGACATGTGTTAATATTACTTCGTCTCACTTTACGTGTACAATCGAGCTAATACTCCACAGAATTTGAACAATGTGCAGATCCTTCAAAGCTCTAAACAAGTTCGTAGATACCTCGAGCGATTTTTGATGGAAAAAGGGCCCGAGTGTGCGTCTTTCACTGGCCCATTTCTCTCCGACCTGAGTTAGCAATCCTTTGCCCACCACTTCTGCGAGAAACTGGCTCTCACTCTGCAATCTAGTCAATGACTCGTGATTTGAGACCATCAATTCCTTCACAATCTTCGGGTCCCGCACAGCCAATCGGGTTATTGTTCCCCACCAGTATAGATAAATTTTTCCTGCAAACGATTGGGCATTTAATCTTTGCACACATCGCCACAAAAAACTGACAAGAATCGTAGCACATGGTCAAGTCGCGCATTTTGACGAGCTAGAAACGTGAAAATCATCAACTTCAACTGATTGCTACCGTATTTTGGATAGTACAAGGCGTTCTGAGGCGTGACAGTGGGTGTCAGATTCGCGAAATCGTCGATCGGCAAAGCGTCAGGGAACGACTCTGTAAACTTCCACATCTCCACGAACTGCCCACGAACAAACCTAAACGGGGGCCCGCTCACGCCCTGCTTAGCCATGATGCGACGCAATCGCAGTGGCTGCCATACGGAAACCCTGAGAAACTTGATCACGCTGTAAACAATCACGGACGCTACCACCACTGCAAGAGCGTTCCTCACATTCACAGGGACTGTCTCCATGGCTACTCGTACACCAGAATCTGATTCTCTCTTCTCAACAAGATGTGTTCGATGCTATCGTCACAGATCAAATTTCCTTTTCGACTCCACTCACTTGTCGGAACACCTCAATCTCTGAGGAATGTGAGATTCGTTCTTGGGCTTTTAACAAATGCTTGCGAATCGATACTTGGATGCCACGCATTAGTGAAATGCGAATCGATACTTGGATGCCACGCATTAGTGAATTGCGAATCGATACTTGGATGCCACGCATTAGTGAATTGCGATGATATGGGCAGGCTTTCGCGACAGTGAAAGTTACTCACAAGAATACCCCCCGTCCAAAAAATCTTTCTGGACTTTGTCGGTTTTATTATTTCTCAACTGTTGACAATGATTAGAAAGACACAAGAGTAGTAGTAAGTCTTACACACAAGAGGGTTTCTAAGGAGAGAGAGCTTCACACATAAAAATCTATTCATCTGGTTGTATCTCGTATACAAGAAGAGAAAAAGGGGAGAAGATAAAAAATACTTCTCCACTAGATTCTAAACACTGTAGCTATAGTATTTATTGTATTCTACAATAAATACTGTGGAGAGCGCCGACTATATTTAATGATCTCAATACTCCTCCTCGCTCATCATAATATTTACATAATATAAAATTTGTATAGAATTATGATCTATACTTTTCTGTGATCTTGCAAGATCAACAATTGTTGCCTCATTAAAACCTTATCTAGGAAAACCTTATTTTATTTAAAGATAAAACCATAGATGAAGGAAAAAGAGTACAACATCATTTTTTTTAATTATTTAAAGAGCTCATTAACTTTCTTATTCAACAAAAGCAAGTTGTCGCATACCAATGCCATAAGTAAGTCGACGATGGTTGCTTAATGGGAGAGCTTTGGTGAAGAGATCAGCCAGGTTATTTGCAGATTGAATTTTCTTAATTATAAGTGCTTGATCAGTAATCAAGTCATGAGTGTAACTAAAATACTTTGGATCAATATGCTTTGTCCTCTCACCTTTAATGAAACCAACTTGCATTTATGCAATACAAGCACTATTATCTTCATACAAGATAGTTGGAGAATCATCATATGAAAATCCACAGGTTGTTTGAATGAATTTATCAATTGATCACAACCAAATACATTCTCGAGATGCTTCATGTAATGCAATAATTTTTGCATGGTTGGATGAAGTTGCAGTTATTGTTTGTTTCACTGATTTCCATGATATTGCAGCTCCATGTCTTAAGAATACATATCATGTTTGAGATTTTAGCTGTTGCAATATTAGATTTATATCCTACATCACAATATCCAACCAAATTTGGATCTACAGATTGTGTGTAGTATAATCCCAAGTCTTCAGTACCTTTTAAATAACATAATAAATGTTTGATGCCATTCCAATGTCGTAGTGTTGGACATGCACTATGTCTTGCAAGAACACTAACTGCAAATGCAATATCTGATCTTGTAGATGTAGCTAAATACAAAAGTGCTCCACCCGCTGCGACGTATGGATATAGGTCATCCAATATTTCCTCCTCCTCCTCGCATGGACAGTATGGATCATGACCATCACGACCATGTCCAACCATTGGTGTGGACAATAGATAAGCATCAATCATATTAAATCTTCGCAAGATTCGTCTAATATATGTTAGTTGGTAGAGAAAAATGCTATCATCTGTTAGATGCATAATTTGAAGACCAATGCAGAAAGTTGTTTTTCCTAGCATTTTCATCTCAAATTCACATATAAGTAGGTTTGTAGGTGTAACACATGCAGATATAGTGCCCACTAGGTTAAGATCATCAACATATAGAGAGATGATCATAAAACTATTTTTATCTCGTTTGATAAACAAACAAGAGATTTGTGGATCACTTATAAAATTATTTGTAATTAAACAATCTCGAAGATGTTGGTACCACATTTGTTCGGATTCTTTTAAATCATACAAGGTCTTACATAATTTAATACCACGATATTTTTTTGGAGCGGGTTGATTTGGAGTTCATGTTTCTAAGCCAGATGGAACTTTCATTTAAATATTTGCATCAAGAGAACCATATAGATATGTAGTTACTACATCCATCAGATGCATCTCAAAGGTGGCATGAACTATCATTCCAATAATATATCAAAATGTAATTGAATCCATGACTAGAGAATATGTGGATTCATAATCAATGCCAAATCGTTGAGTAAATCCTTGAGCAATAAGACGAGCTTTACAGTGGGTTATTTGGCCTTAAGCATCTCGCTTGCATATTAAATATCATTTTATATCCCATAGGGCCAGATGTAAGAGTGTCTACAATTGGACCCAAGACTTTTCTCTTACGCAAAGAGGCATACTCTTCTTCAATAGCAGTTTTTCATTTTGACCAATCTGAGCGATGCATCGCCTCTTCGATGGTTTGAGATTGAGAATCATCTTCCTTGCAAGAAAGGGCTTCTATAATTATATATGCAAATGATTCATCTACCATAATAGATGGTCTATCCCAAAAATCATCTGTAGCACAATATAGAATATTTAACTCTTTACTCAACTTGTTCTTATTCCTTCCAATTCCAAGATTGTTTTTCATAGGAATTGAAGGAATAGTATTGTGAGCTCTCAATTATACTCTAAAATTTAAATTTTTATTATTTTCCTATTTTATGATAATTAAACATGTTAGATTAGGATTTATATAAGTGGAATTTAGTTTTATAGAATTTTTAGGATTACAATCCTTGATGGTATAAATCATAGTCTAATTCCTTAAATTAGATTAATTAGGACTAAAGTGATAAGAGTTAGAAAATCAGAATAGCAACTTAGTTAGTTTAATAATTTAGAGGTTGTTAGTCATTACTATAAGGGTTGACTAAAAGCCTATGAATGCATCTATGATCATTCACATGATTTAGGAGTTGGAATTATAATTCTCTAAAACATTTAGGGAGTTAGGAATAGTAATTTTGGATTTTCCTCCAAATTTGACAAATTTAAGCAGCATGGTGGTTCTTCTACTTAATGGGAGTCTTTTTAATGCAATGGTGGCATTAGATTTACCTCGTGGAGTGAAGAAAATAAGATCAGCAACCTCTCCTTCAAATTACAAGAAAAGCAATGAAATTCTCATTTTGAAGAATTTCACAAAAATTGTCAAGATCCTTGTAAGTAAAAACTTCCGTGAAAATTATAATTGATCATGGATTGAGGCATGTGAGTATTCGATCTTAGCTTAAAAAGGTGTTTTGAACACAATAGTGAAGTTAGATTAACAAAACAATGCTTTCTTGACCACTTACAAGAGCCATCAGCCTTGATAACGAGATTGGCTCTTGGATGAGTGAAGGCTGTAGATCTAGATTAGGGATCTTAAAAATCAAGGGTGGAGATGTAGCCACCCTTCTACGAGCCTCCACTCAATTGTATAAGAGAGGCTTGGTTTTCCAAGCCTCTCTCTCTCTCTTCTTTTGGTGAAGGGCGAAGCCATGCTAAAATTTGGCCAAAAACCCTAATTTTAATTTCATTTAGATTTTAAATCTCATTTTGAATTTTGTGGGTGGATGTGCATAGATTTTGAGTTATGAATGATAGTCATTGGGTGTTAAAACACGTTTCATTGTGGTGAATAGCTCCCTTGACCTCCCAATTACTCCAAGGGTTTTAAGAGCCTCAGATTTCCCTCCATCAGTCATTCAATTGTTTTAGTTCTAAGGTGATTTTTTTTTGTTGTAGCTTTTGTTTTTAGCTTTTCAACAAGGTAAGGCTTGCTCCATTTGGAGTCGAACTGAATTTTTGGTGAAATTTTGAGTGTGAGGGGGTCGACTTCCTTCGTAGTTTGGATTAATCGAGTTTGGGAAGGCATTTCTCAGTGTCTGATAATCCGATTAGTTTGAAATTTTGGGAGCATCAAGATTTAAAAGCTAAGCTTTCAAAAACACCAGTTTCGCTGGATTTGAAGACAATTTGAATTTTTAGCGAATTTCTAAGTGAAGGGGGTTGGTCACCGCGACAGATTGGATCACTCAACTTCAAAGGAGCAATTCTCACGACTGGATCACTAGATTGCAATGAGATTTGTTGAGACAGGAGCGCCTTTAAGTTAACCTTGCAACAACCTGGGAATAATTCAATTTGGAGCTCATTAAAAGTTTTGGCAAATTTTGGAGTAAAAGGGGGTCCCTGCCTTCAATCCTTGGCGTTGTCAAGGTACCTTCGCTTTTACCCCTCTTATTTTATTTTTACTTTTATCTTCACAATAACTCGTAATCTCCACTTTTCAACATTTGACTAAATACTTTTAATTTTTAACCTTTAATATTCTCACTTAAATTTTTAACTTTTAACTTTAATTTCTAACTTTAACTTTTAACTTTTAACGTTAATTTTTAACTTTTAATTTAAACTTAAAATTTTATTCTTATTGTGAATTAATAAGAAAAACTTAATTAATTACTTTTATTATTATTTTTTTGTGTGGTGAATTTCATCTGATATTTTAATTTAATATCGATAACCATTGCTTGGAAGGCATTAATTTTAATTGAATTACAAACACCCACATTTTATTTAACCTAACAATTTCACAATTGGGAGTTATTCCATTCTACCTCTTGAGCTCGTTGTGTAGTACTAAATCCATAGAGTAGTGGATTTTAGGCTCACAATTATCCATGGATATTTCATCATGAATTGGTAGTCCTGCAAGATGAGTGGTAATTTCTTGAGAAATAATACTAGGATTAGTTAATTTTATAGCTTTCTTCTTACGTGGTTGCTTATCTAGTGCACAAGTTCTTTTAATTGTTGTTGTTATAACTTGAGGTATTGTAGTCAATGGCACTACAATCTGAGCAGGTGCATTCTGAGCCTCATTAATAGGAACTCTTACAATTCTAGGTGCATCATTGAAGCTATCAGGTGTTTCATCCACGATCTGTTTTAAATACAAAATCTTAGCAACTTCAATTTTTGCCAAAGATGTCCTAGGATCAGGATTCATTGTAAATATTTTTGGTGCTTCGAATATGAGTACTTTATTTCTTTGTTGATTGGATACTCCTCCTTGAAAAGATGGGAATACATTTTCTTCAGAACGACAATTTTACAAACGTGCAGGTAATAATGTGCCAGTTGATGGATCAACAATATGAATAATGCTTGGTGAATCAAAACCAACATATATGCCTTCT